ATTCAGCAGGGGGTTGGTATGGGGGAGCACTCAGCAGGAGTGGTTTGGTATGGGGGATTTTCCATCCTTTTGCAATTGAGTCAAGGTCTCAGGGCATGCCTGGGGGCCCACAGCTCCCTTGTGACTGACTGGTCCCCACTTACCTGTACATCCTCTTCTCTTGAAACTCCGGCGGCCTACTCCATTCAAATACTGTCAAAACATCAATAATTAACGAAGCTTTTCAAGGTCTTGGGTGCCTTTGTTTCCATGCTGTTCTCTCTGCCTAGAATGAATCTTCTCCCCTCTTGGCCTTTGAAGTAAACAGAGACAGAGCAGCCTCCAATTCCCCAAGACTATGGAGAGCTGTGTGGAGATTTCTTGACCTACTAAACATAGAGCTTCCATATGATCGAGCAATTCCACTCCTAGGTATTTACCCAAAGGACACAGAAACATCCATTCCAAAGAGCACCTGCACCCCTATGTTTATAGCAGCACTATTTACAATAGCTAAGCTTTGGAAACAGCCCAAATGCCCAAAAATAGATGACTGGATCAAGAAGATGTGGTACATATATACCATGGAATATTACTCGCATTCAAAAAAGATAAACACATGCAATTTGCAGCAACATGGATGGCACTGGAAGGGATCATGCTCAGCGAAATAAGCCAGAAAGAAAAAGAAAAATACCGGATGGTCTCACTCATAGCAGGAATCTAGAAAACTTAAATAAGGGACCAGGAAAATGAATAACTATAAGAAAGTAAAAATCAAAATCAACAAACAACTATGAACCAGAGACACTCTATGGGGGGTGGGGGGCGGGGAGGGGAGGGATTGAGGTCAAAATAAGGGGGTTGCAATTGTATGGGGAATATAAAAATAAAATTTATTTTAAAAAAAAGAAAGTTACTCTTATGCTCTCTTTAGCAGCATCTTTGAGGTCAGTTCTACCCCACTTGGTCCAGGTGAGCTTCTGCTCCTCCCCCTACCTTAGAAGAATGGAAGCAGCTTCAGAACATGACCCTTTGCCCTCTACCTCCCCCCCACACACCCTCTCCAGTTCTGCCTCAGGCTTATTTCAAAACTCTCTCAAATTCAAGTGCACATGCTCCCTCTCTGGAAGGGAGAATTCTGTGTATGTTTCCTTGGTATGGGCACATGACTACATGGTGCACAGTAGGGAGAGCTGACAGGTAAGGAGCGCTCTGGGCAGTGGCTTTTCTAACTGCTCACAAGTGGATTCTTTTCTTACTGTCAGTCTCTATAGACTTGGGAGTGTGGGCGTGGGGTGGACCAAAGGCTCAGCCCCATGTTGCCAACTGACCATGAATGAGGACTGAGTCCCAGGTGTTCTATGAGCACTGAAGAGTCTGGGTAACTCTGATGCAACGTGACCGCACCCACACATTCACCGACCAATACCACGCACATCTGTCATCACAGCAATGCTGCAGAAAGGACACAGGGCATCTCAGATAGCTCAGAATTCTTCTGAGCAAATTAGGTCATGGATACCCTTTTGATTATAATTAGTGACAATATCCACTAGAGTATGATGGGGGGGAAAAAAAGAGTAGAAAGAAAATTAACCTTAATGCTAGACCCACGTAAACCGGTCCGCACTTACTGTGTGTCCTGGAACATGTGACTCCGCTTTTCTTTGTTCACATAAGAAAAAATGTCCCTGGGTGGGACATTGTGAAACAGCATGTCAGCTGCCAGACCACATAATAACACTGAAGCAAAAATTATTTCCTTCTTTTCCAGCACTTTCTACATTCATAAAAAATTGTCAGCTCCATAATGCTAATAAGAAACACCTACGCTATTAAAAGATGTGTAGGTATGTCTTGCTGATGCTCTGACCTCTGGATCCCTTGACACTTTTGGCTGCTTGAGTCAACCTGGAGTCTGCTGATGCAGAAAACTAAGAGGAAATAACAATTAAAATAGAGTAACCAGAGGAACTGCCACCAAATACTGGGCACTCAGGGGGCCAGTATTTGAGTTCTTTGGAAACTCAAGGAAGGGGATTTGCATTACACCAGGGGTAGGGTATCACCAGCAATCACATGTGAAATGTGCGTGCACACAGTCTGCTGCAGGCTGTAGCTTTCTGGGTGTGCAACCTAGAGGCTGCTTAAATTAAAACCAAGACTTTAACATGTATTTGAACATGTATCCTTAGGAAATGCATCTAACTTCTTTATGCCAAGACTTTGTCATTTGTACAAGGAGATAAGACTAAAACCTACCTCTTATGGTTATTTGGAGGATTGAATGAAATAATGCCGGTAAAGCACTTAGCACTGTGCCTGCCCTATCTAAGTGCCTGGGAAATCATATACATCCAAGGATTAATAGGGTTGTCTGGGTGACGGGATAATGTCTGATACTTGCTGCTTTATATATTCTGTATTTCCCAAATCTCTTCCAGTGTTAGTGTATTAATTTATGCTCTCTCACACACATACAAAACCTTAATACTCTTTCATTTTGAAGAGATTTTCTTAAATGAGCAGCCCTCAATTCAAAGAGGTGGGAGAGAGCTGGGGACTTATTAGCACCAATGGGTGGAATCTAGGAGGAACTAACAGCTGAAGATCGAAAGATGTAATCTAGAAAAATTTCTTGGGGAAAAGTAGCTGCTAAAGTTTTTGAAAAGATGCTCTGAAATAGCAGGCTGAGGGGGTAAAAAAAAAAAAACTCCTTGAAGTAGGGTCTAAGCTCAAATATAGCGATTTCTTTGAATGACACAAATGAATGAAGCAGAGAGGGTGTCATCCATAAGATGTGGTGGGGACCCCAGAAAACTGGACAACACACCCCTCATCTAAAAAGAGCAGCCAGAGCCTCCCTGGGGTTGAGTTGCAGCACTAGGAAGCTATGCACAGCCACTGGAGCACAAGTTCGATCCCCAGCCAGGGAGTTGACACACATGGCGCAGCAGACCTCTCCTGTCCCACCCGCTGCCCCCCTAAGCAGTGTATTTCAGTCAGTCTGCCTGCTCTGCTCCCCACTCTATCTCTGGGTGAATCTTCTCACCTCCCTGTACCTCTGGCCTGTACTCCAGTTCTTGTATGCATAGATAAATAAAAATAAATCTTTTTTAAAAAATAAAAAGAGCAGCCATCACCAGCTCTCGCTTGTTGTGGACATGTGTAGTTCCACATTTCCATGATTTTTTAAAAGAACTCAAGAATCTGCATTTTATGTAAAATATTCCAAAAATCAGATGTCGGAGTTCATTTTAATTTTAAAATATATTGAAAGCTAAACAAACATCACGACACTATCAGTTTACAATCAGTGTACTAAGGCTCATCCAAGACCTAAACTCTGTAAAGGAAATTCATTTAAAAGCTGACAGAGGCACAAGAGATGCCCAGTGGATGGCAAAATAGAAGATGCAGAAGGGACTGGATCTTTAATGGCATCACTGAGAGAGTCAAACAATCCTGGCGCTACCTAGTCTTTGTTTTCTTTAAAAAAAAAAAAAATAGTAAATTCAAAGAGGTGGGTGCACCCTCATGTTCACTGCAGCTTCATTCACAGTGGCCAAGAGTTGGAAACAACCTAAGTGCCCATGGAGGAATGACTGGACTAAGTTGTCGTGTAGATCGACACAATGGAAGATGACTCAGCTATAAAGATAAAAGATAAATCCTGCCATTTGCCACAACATGCACAGACCTCGAGGGTATGACACTTCGTGAAGTAAGTCAGATGGAGAAAGATGAAACTGTTGATTTCACTCACATGTGACCCTCATGGGGCTCACAATCCACTTGGTATTACAGCTCATCCTCGTGGACCCAAAGGAAAAAGAGAACAGGCTTTGAGGGCAGGCGGTGTGCATGGGTTGCTTGCAGGTACAATCTAGATGACAATTTCATGCCAGTCGGGGTGAAGAAATAAATCTGCAGACAGGCCTTTGGCTTGCTGTCAGGAACAAGGAGCCTGGGTATAAACGTCAAGGACAGAGTGTTCAAACGGTGGCCCCAGGCCTTATTTATAACCCATTTCATCTGGCTGCTATCTGGGAAGGCCCTGGCTCTCATCTCCCTACCCCTCTCTTGTCCTGTCCAATTTGACAGTGTAATTTACAGTTCTTCCTTCTCAGATACTCCCTAGGCCTGAGAACAAGGAGATAAGCAGAGTAGATGACTCAGGAGAGAACTTAGGAGCCTGGGGTGTCTGGGAGGAAAAACACCGGCTAGAAATCACTCTACCTTACAGTGGGGAGCAGGACGTTGTTCGTTTCTCCGCCCTCTGTCTGCACTTCCTCCCTCTAATCTCCCTCAGCACACTTTTTCTCCGTAGACACTCGCGCCAGCTGTGGGGAAAGGTTGAAGCTGATTTTAATAGACTCAGGAAGTCGAGTAAATTGAAAGACCGGGGTCAGTTGCGTCCGACAGGAGTGAATCTCTTCCCCCTCTATTTCCAAGCCCGTCTGCTCAGGAGGAGGAGGCACAAAGGGGAGGAAAGAAAATTTCTTCCAAAAAGAACTCCATTTCCTTCTCCAAAGGCCCTTTCACAATGAAGCCAGAGGAGGAGATGTGTTTCGTCTCTCTCAGATCAGGATTCACCTGATATGGCTGAAGCTGGGCGCCAGTGAATGAATTAAGGCAGGGAGAACGCGCTTCTGAAGGCCTCACGCGAAGTCCAGACACAGAATTTCAGAACTGAAAGGGAATTTCAGTACCATCCAGTTCAACCCTCCACCCAGCGCAAGTTGCAATCCACCCTGCCAAATCATTCACTCATTCAGCAAACATTTCGAGAGCACCTACTATGTGTCAGGGACCGAGAACAGAGAACAAAGCAAGCAGACAGAGGCCTGCCCTCAGTGGAGCATCCCTCCAACGCCCAGTGTCGTCGTGCATTGGTTTGAGATCTTGTGACCTCTGAGGCCAGAACAGCCCTTCCTGGGACAAAGCTTCCTTCCCTTGACCCTAAATATCCATTTAATCCACTTATTCCCCTCACACAGCTCCAGGACACTTAGCTTGAAATTTTCTTTTATTCATCATTTCATATTGCTCAAAATTACTCTGCAAGGAAAATGTGATTTATTCCCGCCTTACAGATGCGGAGCTGAGCCTAGAGAGACAATGTGAGTGGCCACTTAGTTGGCAACGAAAGAGCCAAAAATGGAACGCACCTGAGCTCAGACTCACTGCTCCGGGGGGGGCCCGTCTGGACACAGGAGAGAACAGCTTTCATCCTGGCTGGATTCTTGGGGTGAAGGAGGGCTGACCCCAGATGACTGCGATTAATTCGAGAAGGGAGCAGAGAATATTTCTTCTCCCTCAACACCCGCTTAGGAAGGAGCCTCTGGAGAACACCGTCTCTGCCTTCGGTGCTGGCTGGAAGGAATCTTCACTGTTCTCTGGATCGCGGTTTGTTCTTGTTCTGCCCGGAGCTTGTTCTCAAGGACCTCTTGAAGCCTGTGGACCCACACTTTGCCAGAAAACCCTGTCGTCAGTGACTCTTAATAAGAATGCTGAGGCTGGAGGGGAGAGCCAGTGAGTTTGCTCTCCCTGAGATGGGCAGGGAGTCCCAGAGGGGCTGGTGTGGCCTGGGACAGCTGCAAAGCCTCCGGCTCTGGGGGTTGGGGGGAGCCTGGAGAGGCTTCTCACTGCTGCTCCTTTCATTCAAACAGCCTGCCCTGCACTGCAGGGGCTCAAATCCCAGGATGCTGCAGTCCGGCCACTTCATTTTCAGATAGGGAAACTGAGACTCAGAAGAGGGTGAAGCGGGGGTCTAAGGTAACAGCCAGCAGGCATAAGAGTCAAGAGAGGTTGGGGGGCTTGTGTCAGGCATTGTTTGGTCTGAGCTCACCTAGCTGTGCATTAAGAAGCAGCCTAGGCCTGGCCAGTGGAGTAGCAGGATCTTTGTGACTGTCAGGAGGGCAGAGTGCTCTGGAGGGACCCACACCGAGCTGTGTGACCTTGGGGAGTTTCTTAACTACTCTGTTCATCATACTCAGCATTGCTGAGTAAGTGAAAGATGAACAGATCACAGATGACATGGAATGAAGAGCATGAAGTGAGGGATAGCCTTTCACATCTGCTTCTCCTCTTTCTTCCCACTGTCTTGTCTCTCTCGCCCTCCTTTTCATGGCTGGAAAAAATCACAGAACCAATGCCTTGTGGAATCCATCTCTCCTCCTGAATCTTCCTACATGGTTTCTACTTCTGGCTAATTGCTTTTTGACTAGCTGTCCTAATTCTCCAGACCCTGTCTGCAGCTAAGGAGCTCCTAATCTACCTGCAAAACCCAACGGAAATCCCCCTTCTCTGTGAAGTCTTCTCCATCAGGAAAGGTAAGTTTTCCTGTTCCATGGGACTTTTGTTGCTCACCACTCTGCCCTTATAATTGCTGATTCCTGGCTGCCAGTGGTCTGTGAATCCTCCCCATTGTGCAAGGACAAGGATTTAGTCTTCTTACCTTACCTACAGCACAGCATGGAGCACAGAGACAGGCAAGCAGCAGGCACTTAGAAATAAATGAAGGAACGACCAGAATGTGCCTAGTTCTTTAAGAGAAGAGTTATCCTTTTGCATTCAACAGCTATTTCTTAGCTGTCTGCTCTGCACTGGGTACAGTTCAAGCCCCGGGGCTAAGCATTGAACAAAACCAAGAGATAAGAAGCAAGTACAGAAATAAAGAAACAAGATATTTTAGACAAGGAGGACAGGAGAATCAGCAGGGGCCCTCACAGACAAGGCATCAGGGTGACCTCTTTGAAGAGCTGAAGCTTGAATGACCAGAAGGAGCGATGAGAAAAATCCTGGACAGAACCGTGACAGGCGCTGGGTGGGAAGCCTCAGAAGAACAGGCTTATCAAGGAGCATGGACCTCCCAGGTGGCACAGGGGTTAAATCTCAGCACTATCAATGCGTGGGCCTCAGTTCCATCCCTGGACAGGGGGTTACCCACATGGCACAGCAGACCTCCTCTGTCTCGCCTGCTGCTCCCCTCAGTCGCATATTTCAGTAGATCCACCTGTTCTGCTCCCCACTTTGTCTCTGGTGAATCTTCTCACACACCCCCACCACTGGCCTACACCCCAGTTCTTCTACAAATAAATAAATAAATCTAAGAAAAAAGATAGAGGTAGAGCGAGAGGACAGGGTTTCTAGCTGGTGGCAGTGAAGAGAAGGTGGAGTTGATGAACTTAGGGACTGTGCAAAGGTTGGGGTATTCATACCTCATGGGACCAGAGGGCTTTATACCAGGTGGCCACTTGCTCTGTCTTTTTCAGGGGAGATCACTCTGGCTGAGCCAAGAACAATGGGATTTTGATGCTATAACAGGAGTAGACCCGGGATAGCTAGTTTGGAGGCTGCTGCATTAACCCCAGTGTGGACAGTGTTTGGCCCAGGATGTGCAGGGGGTGGAAGAGAAGGGAGGGGAGTCAGGAGGTGCAGAGGATGAGAGAAAGTCACCCATCACAACCATGGCTGTGTGCCCAGGGTTCTCAACTAGAGCATTTCCGTTATTCCTCAGCTTGCAGAGAGAACCCTCTTTGTTTCTCCTCCACGTGCAGCAGAAGGGGCTCCTGTGTGACATCTGACCAGCACAATCCAATCCCCTTTCTATTCCCCGGCCTCCAGCATCTTTTCCTCTTCAAAAGCACTGCCTGGGGGCCTCCCTGATGATGCAAGGGGTTAAGCAATGGGGCTTTCTCTTTGAAGCAATCTGCAGCCTCTGCAGCATGAGTTCAATCCCCAGCCAGCCAGGGAGCAACCCACATGGCGCAGCAGACCTCTCCTGGCTCGCCCCCCTCAGCAGTGTATTTCAGTCAATCTGCCTGTTCTGTTCCCCACTCTGTCTCTGGTGGATCCTTTCCCCCCCCACACACCTCTGGCCTGCACCCCAGCTCTTGTATGCGTAAATAAATAAATCTTTAAAAAAGAAAAACAGCACTGCCTAGGTCTACAAGCCACTGCTATTGATTTCTCCAGCAAAATGTGATTTGGGGAAAGCTGGTTTACTTTTCTAGAAGCATCATCTGTACACAGGAAAGCATTCCATGGGGATGAGGACTCCATGGACAGCAGTCCCACCTCACAGCAAGGCACTATAGGAGGAGAGGGGGCCGCGAGACCTGGAGGTGACACTTGAATGCATGCTGATTTGGGAGGGAATCCCATGTCGTGGAGGGAAGTGGGCTGGGCCAATGGCGTGCCTTTTCTGTCTCGCGGTTGCAGGCACCCTTTGAGGAGGTCGAGAGCCTCATTACCACAAGAGCTTCCTGTAGAACACACCCCATTACATCCTAAGCTGGGCTATGAAATTGATTTTCTGCACTTTATTTTCACAGTTTAAATAACAAGACAGGGCCAATGGTGGAAAAGTGCACCCCATCTCTTGACCATTCTTTCTCTCCTTCCCCCGTTGGTACATGTTTGGCAGGCTGAGCCCCTCCCCAGGTTTTCAGACCAGTTTTGCTCACAGTGTAGACCCAGCATCTGTTTACTCATTCAAGTAAAATATATTTATTTGAATGCCTCTACTTGGGGGATACAGCTGTGAGAAAGAGAAAGCCCCATGGAACTCATGTTGTGGTGGGGAAGGCGAGATGGGCATAGCCAGTGAGATGATTCCATAGAGCAGTGGAATAAATAAAGCATAGCCAGTTGCCATAGAATGACTCTAGGTAAGGTCTGGCAAACATTTTCTCTTGGTTTTGTGGACTGAAGTGGTCTCTGTCACAACTGTTTAGTTCACCTGTTGGAGGATGAAAGCAGCTCTGTACAAATATGTAAAGGAATGAGGAAGGAATCTTTATTCCAACAGAAACAGGTGGCAAAACTATGGACTGTAGTTTGCCAACCCCATTCTGAAGGAATGTGGGGGGTTCTTAATAGGGTGGATGGAAAACGATGGTGAGATTTAAGCTGAGGTCTTAATGGTGAGATGGAACAAGACACCTAAGGAAAAAAGAGAAGACATTCTCACAAGGGAACCTCATATGCAAAGCCCTGATTTGTGTCTATTTTAGGGGAAAAAATGTCCACCCATGTGATGGGCAAAAATGAGTGGAGAGAGAGAATGTTGCACTTCAGGTCCAGAAGTAACAGGGATCAGGTATAAAGGGCTTCAAGTTCCCTGACAAGGACTGGCACATAGTAGGTATACAACTAACTGTGGCACTATCAAAGGAGATTTAAGGAGCTCTCAGTTACTACCCAAAGAACTAAGATGAATTTCATAAGTTTTGTTGAGCTCTACAAGCACCAATTCTAGCTTTATGAACCTCACCTAGAGTCTCAATTCCATGTATTATATTTCTACCTTGTTTCCTATTAAGGGACTTAATGGTGCCCAAACTCAGCCTCCCTAGTGGATCTTGAGACCTCCCAAACCAGGCCCTCATTGACTAAAAGCTAAGGAATTCTTGCTGCTGATCCCTGAGAAGAAAGAGCCCTACTATGTGCCAAATGCTGACAAACGGAGACTTGTGGTGGCACAGATATTCTAGTTCTGCTCTTTCCAGGTCTTCTACTCATCCCTTGGGTGTTTTCTGTAATCAGTGATTTGCTTTAGCAGAAGACCTGTAGACACAGGTGACCTGTGTCACTTCCAGACAAAAGCTTTAACCCCACCAATGCACAACCAATGCACAACCCCACATCTCTCCTCCCCACCACGAATGTGAAAGCATCTGTCAAGAGGCACCCTCCCTCACACCCATGTTGGACATGTTGTGGAACAGACTTAAGCTTGTGTTGGGTTGAGGCACTAGGCTTTTGTGGGTGTGAGAGCAGCATAACCCTGACATTCTGAATTATGCAGAAATTATACAAAAGATCAGGACAACCATAGCAAATACATTACAGTCACTTCGCACTTGAACAGTAGGTGACTCAGTATCCACAGCAAAGTTGAAAAAGAGCAAGTCGAGGAACAAAGGAACACAACAAACCTAGGGATGATGGCCTGATGACACAAAAGCTGAGGCTATGACTTCTTGACCCACAGAAACTCCTGAAAGTTAATTCTGACCTCGATAAATGCGAAAGCTGGGGAGAGTACAGACCAGCAAACAAGCAAATATAACACGTTGTGTAACAAATGCTACACTAAAGTGATGAGCAAAGTCCTAGGAATCAGAGAAAGTGAAGGACTCTTAAGAGCAGATTGAACTGTACAGGAAGAGTGACATGAGCTGGCCAGGCTAAGGTGGAAGAGAATGTAGACTCTAGGAAGGCATGGAGTGTCTATATGATTCTCTGCTCTCTCTCTAGAGTCCTAGTAGGGGCTGGTGAGTAGGTGCTCCATAGACTTTTGTTGAATGAATTTTGAATTCCAGAACTAAAGTGGTGAGTATTTCAGACTAGAGCATGTGTCAAGGTTGGAGTTTTATAATCCGAGGGTCCACTGACCTGGACATATGCTATGCCCAGGGTAGGAAGGAGGCTGATGAAGTTGGAGTATGATGCTGCAGAATCAACCCAAGATCCTGCTCTGCAGAGCCCTGCCTGCTACACTGGGTGTGGTGATTAGCTTGGAGCCAGGCTAATCAAGGCTACACACCAGGAGGGATCAATTTGAAAATGTAAATTGGTGGAGCAATAGGTGGTTAATACAGTATGTGCAGGTGGCAACCTGGCAGCTGGATGGCCGGAGGGTGCACCTTCTTCTTGCAGGTTTCCATTTGGGCTATTTACAAGTGTTGTGATGGCCAAACTCAGCACGTCTGTGGATCCCAGGCCGGTTTGGAAGGCACCAATTTTTCAAATCCTGCTAAAAGAGATAGTCAGGATCCAACAGAAGATTCCAGAAAAAAACAACAGTCCACAGTTCATTATCCATGATCTTGAAATTTTAAAAACTGACAACGGAAGACTTTGTCATGAGTTTGGCTCACGCTCATTTGGCAGCAAACAGTGGCTGAGCTTACATGAAGTTATTTATAATCTCTATCTGTCCCTCTTCACGTGAATATCCACATATTTTCCTCTTGGGTGTTTGATGATGGGGTGCTATACCCAAAGACATGGCTAGACCTACATAATATACTGTCTCTCATTTTTCTTAAATTCAAAATATTTTGAATTGGGGTGACACTCAAAATTTTGGATGAAGGATTATGGATCCTCACATGATCAGGT